TTTAAATCTTAAATTAAAACTTAAAAAAATATATTACTAGTTTTAAATCTTTTTTGGTTATAATTGTGAGTCGTTTTGTAATTATTTAAATTTTAATAACATTATTATCATATTTTCCGAATAATATTGTATTATTTCATTAATGATGCCATATTAATAATGTATTTAAAATATTATTTATACAATTCATATTTAATAACTTAATAATAATTCAATAATAATAATCGTTTTTGATATCATATTATTAATAATTTTGTAATATTATTTTACAAAATCATTATTTGATATTATATAGATATTTGTGTTAGAACAATATTTTCATAATGATAATATGATACTAATAAAATATTATCATTACTAAAATGCTATTTGCAACTTCCGATAAAAAATGTTTGGCCCGGTCAAAAAACTTGAAAATGCAAGGTTTCTCATAAGTTGTTGATGTCAGACACAAAAAATTAAAAACACACATCATTCAGCTCAGAATCAAAAATAAATAAAAATAAATAATGAAGAATAAAATATTTCAAATATCATCATGAAATATATTGCGTCCGGATCAACCAGGATCTCATACCACTGCGCGTCACAGTTGCTGTATTCCCACTGACAATTTGCCGACAATTTGCCTTCGCGGTCGAATAAAAATCGACTAAATAAAATATTTCTACATTAATACTGTACACTATATAGTATGATAATATTTATAGTATATATAATATTATTATTTATTATGTTCAAAGTGTTAAGACACAAGCCCTTCGAGTAAAAAAATATAGTTTATTAAAATATGTAATACCATTGATTATAAAATTAAATAGTATAATATAATAATTGTGCTTGTATACTAAAAGTATTTATAATCATATTGGTATTAGCGACAACTAAGAAGTAACATTAAAATTAAAATAAAACATTTCTCTGGAGTAATAACTTTTAATTCATTTTACATTTTAATAGTTATTTACATTATTTATTTGACGAAGATATTCGTAACTTATATGACAAAAATAAAATATTAAAAGTTGTTGAAAGTAGATTTTTTTTAGTTTGTAATACCAAATAATGTTTATCAAAAATTACAAACTGTTCCACTTTTATAATTGATTAATATTTTAATTTAATAAACATTTAAATAATTGTAGAATCTTGACGAAATTACGTTTTAAATATTCGATTGTAATTAAAAAAATATTATTAGTAAGAACTTGAAATTTTTCTTCACTCAATGTATAATTTTTTAATTACTTTGCAATAGATATTTAGACTAATTTTAAGTTATTTAAATCTCGAAATTATTCACTTCGTTCTTCGGTGAGTGGTATTGACTGGTAACTCAAATTTAATAACAATTATGTATTATGATGCAATGAATTAATAATATATACAATGATCCAGGGCCTAGGTAAAATGAGTTCAACTCATATTCACCGTAGGCAATACTGATAAAAAAATAAACTAGCAATAGCAGCATAAATAAATTATGAAGCATTCCTAGAAAAGAGGCTGGCACGGTTTGTCTTTACTCTCCGCTCAGTATGTTTATACAGTGAACACCGCAAATTTTCAAACCCGAGTCTAGACCAATAATATTTACATTATAACTAACTATTTCAATGCACTCCTTGCACGATGACTTTAATTCAAATACATTTATGCGTGTAATTATTATATTTAGAGCATATTAATAATATGTACACAACGACAACATGTGTGTTGAAGTATTTGCGTAGTTGTGAGGGCTGTGTCATTAAAACCCAATATTAGCTTAGTTACTATATACTGTGTTATTATAATACAATATTGCATGCGATAATTGCAGCATTGTTTTTCTTACATGTACAATTTTTTTTTATTTTAAAATGTATAATAACCTACAATGTATATACGTCGGTACATGTGTTGAGTATAGGTAAGAAGTACTTTGCCTGATGCAATATTTTTGGAAATTTTTTTCTTCTGACATTTCGATTTAGATTACTCCCCGCACGATATATAATATATAATATAAAATAATTACTCGTTGTTCATGTAATACATTATATAAATATCATATTATGTATATATATATATTATGTATATTATACATATTATACTATTACTATTATATTATTATTATATATATATATATATATATATTATGTTGCAGCATTTATGTAGTATGCACGCGATATCGCGAGACCCCGTGAAGCGCATATATACACAGTTATTATACATGTTTGTAACGTGCACCTCGTCTCACCACAAGTCGACCCCATGACGGCGTTTGGCGCTGAGCGAAAGAAAAGTAATTTGACGCGCGGCAATGGCGGAACCCCTAAGAAACGAGCCCGCCGCCGCCGTCTGCACCGTAGTTTGCGCGCATATTATATTGACTTTTGAGATGCACACACACACACACACACACACACACACACACACACACACACACACACAC